CCATAGCATCACCCTGGAAACCAAGTTCTAAAAATATCTTGACTATTATTCAGTAGTGACTAAGCAACTGATAGCAGATACTTGCTGAAATTGCCTATACATCATGTGGCAATCTCACTATTCAAGAGGAAGCGTTTCCTAACCAATGAGATACAGCAGCAACATAAAGAGGCACAAGGAAATTATTTGTATTTTTCAACAACCTGCAAAGTATAGCTTCTTTAACTTATTCCAAATCCTAGCCCACTATGATCTAACTTTAAAGAGTGCTTACTGAATTTCTCCTCCAGCCCCTATAATCTCTTTGCTTTTCCTTTCTCTTCCTTCCATCAGACATTAGTAGTCTACAGCCCTCAAGGTCCCTTTTATAGCATTCCGGGCATCCTCTGGCTGTAACTACTGACTGTTCTCATTTTGAGATAGGAAACTCTCCTGACATTTTGAGAATAAAATATGGAGGAAAATTACCCTAAAACATTAAAGGATACACATCACCATTAAAAAAAACCCACAAAATTTCCCAAATTCTGTGTGACTCCTGGGCACCAACAGCAGCTTTATAGAGTCTGTACCTTCCGCAGTTATGCAGTGCATACAGGAGTACAAAAAGATACCTGATGTAAACATACACCGTATTATTTCATGGAGCCTCTTTCAAAAGGGTAAATACCAGAAATGTTCGTGCAGAGAAAAAAATGTATTTCTAGATATTAAGTTTATGCAAGCTGTTTGCATTCACAGATATTACATTTTGCTCGCTGCTTTGGAAAGAGCTTGTTTTGAAAGGTGAACACTCTGCAGGTGGTCTTCATTTAGCAACCACTCGTTCAGCGACTGTTCAAACTTACAACGATGCTGAATTGGTGGGACTGACAACCAGTCCTCCAAATTCCACCTATCCCAATGTCCCTGCAGTCAGGCAGCGGTTTTTACAAAAGCCTTGTTTGTATCGTTGTCTGTGCTTTTATGACACCATCTGTAGAATTCTTTCAGAAAGACTGTTATTGAGCTTCCACTGAGAAGTATGACATTTTACATCTTAAAAAAATTGAATAAGAATCTGTTGTTCATATCAAATTGATTACTGCTAATACTCATTTTGGCAGTTTGCTTTTAGACTTTTAAAAGATGGTTTGCAAAATGTAAGCTTTCAAAATAATTAATTAAACTATCACAGTCAGTGATAGAAATCATTCAGTATCTCTAATGTAATAAATTAGAGCCCTTAGTTTTGGGTGTTGGCAACTGACTTGCATTTATGGCCATTTGCAGTGTCCCATTGTCACATGACTGAGATTTTTGGCAATTTTTGCCACTTTCCAGCAAAAACACAGATCGGGCAAATGAATAAATATATAAAATTGGGTGCAGTCACATGGTTATTCACTAAACAGCCACCCAACTTATGACTATAATTCCAGCCTCAATTACAGTTGTAAGTACAGGATTACCTGTATATCGAACCATAAATGAACAGTATTTTTTAAATTTGGAATTTATAAGCGCTCCACTCCAATGGACAGTAAGCATGATGGGTATTAAATTTTAACATATGCAATTACAAGACTGTTCACAATCAGAGCTGTGAAAAACCTCTTTTGCATTTCAAGCAAACCTATTTATATCAAAACTTAACAAATGTTATAGGTAAATCTTTTCAAAGGTTCCTGCTATCGTTCGACAAACATTTGGTACCTCTGACAGAAGTTCAATCCAATCTTTTCCATTTTCAGCAGCAACGTGTAGAATTAAAGCTGGAAAAAAGGAGAACAAAGTTATCCTCCTCTCAAGTTTGTGTCTTATTTTTTTACAAGAAATTATGTTTACACAGAAATTAAAAAGCAATTTAGGTAATGATATCTCTTAAATGTGTAGAATGTCTATAATAGTCATTAGTATAGATATTATTTTCAAATATGAGATAATTATGTTTGAAATTAGTACTGTATTGCTTACTGTAGTGTGAAAATGTTATTCCCATGCTTTCTGGAATAAAAAAAATATTGATCTGATCGGAAGCCAATTTAGATAGCTTCAAGTCAAAACAAAACCTGTACAGCCTTATATAAATACACACATAGCTTTGTCATCCAGCACTTCACTTTTCTAAATAATGTGCATGGCATACCGATATTTCCTTTACCCTTAGGTTAACATTTATATTTATTAAAGAGGACTTCTTCACAGGCTGGAACTGTTCACAGTCCATTTTTCCTGAAACAATGCCAGGATAGCAAGTCTAAGAAAGAGCCACAATCAGAATCTGGGTACAATCAAAACAACAGCAGAAGCACCACTAATATGCTTCCCAAATGTTTGCAGTAAATAGGTCTACAAGTCATAAGATAGACAACACTAATATTATATGGCATAATTTGAAAACAGATTTGGCAGTGAGATTTGAGATGGAAAGAGGTAACATTGAACAGCTTCAGAAAATTATAACAGGCATACACTTTGATTTTGTTTGGTATGTGTGTTCTTCTTAAGACCTTTGTATCCTTTTGATATATATATGATCAGCAGAACTGTTGTTCAAATTTATTTGATAAATAATGGAAAAGTACAGAGTACAGTATTTGCCAATACAAGTTAGTTAGTCCAATGAACTGTCTGCCACAATCTCAATTAGTTTTTCAAAGAATTTTAATATATTTTACATACATTATTTTGAATTGCTTACACAGAACCTTATTTCTTCTTGTGATTCTTACTCTCATTTTTTTCTTCTTCTGCTTTAAAATCCATTATCCTGAATAATTTGATACCATCTTAATGTTTGGCCACAGAATAGCTCACCTAAATACACACAGGAAGTAATACTGTACTATATGGATTCTTCTTCTTCTTGTGCCATATCTGTTATTGGACGTTGGCGATCATGTTGGCGATCCTGTTTTTATCAGCAGCCGCACGAAAAAGTGCTGCTGAGTTTTGTCCAAACCAGTCCCTTAGATTTTGAAGCCATGATGTTCTTCTTCTGCCTGGATCTCGTTTGCCTTCAATCTTTCCCTGGAGGATTAAATGGACTATGCCGTATTTTTCTGGGTGTTACATCACATGTCCGAAATATTCTAATTTTAATTTTTTAATTGTTTTGATGATTTCCCTTGGCTTTCCCAGGCAGCTTATCACCTCATTTCTGATCTTGTCAACCCAGCTTATACGTAACAGCCGCCTGTAAATCCACATTTCAAATGCTTCTAGTCTCTTCAGGTAGCCTTCTATATGGATATCAAAAGTATATTTAATTTCTGAAGCAACATGATCTACAAGAAGCAGCTCGATATAGTCATTAAAAGACTTGCAACAAGATTTTATAGGTATTATACCTGTCAGGTGTGGTTGTATACAGTCAAGCCTATGCTTGGATACAAAGTTTGGCTGGATAAAGGTCAATTGGCTGAAATAGAAGAGTAAGATGAATATCTTTGGGTATGGTTCCATTTTCCCTGCAGGAGCAGGTACATAGTATTGTGCTAAATAACCCTACTACTTGTTATGGTGGCTATCTTTCTTGGCAATGATAACTTTGTATTCACATTGGTAACTTACGAGCGAGCCTGTTGACTAAGAGTATTGTAATAATATGTGAATTTCTTTTGGACAATGTATTTTTCAGGAATTAACTATTGTAAGTCTGAAATCTTTTAAAGTTAATATGCTACGAAAGAAGGAAACTGTTTAACTTATTTTGGCAACACAATGTACAGAATATAGCAGCCCAACTGATAAATGCTGATTTAGGTGCTACATCAGATATCTCTCTTTTTTTCCTAGTGCAATTCAAGCATTGCATGACTTGGATCAGATTAGTTTTGGGACCATCTGCCCTGGTTATATCTCCCTGTTCAATGCACTTCAATCAGTGCTGTTCTGGAAGTTAGAGATGGAGGAATATCTCTTTTAATTGCTTCAGTATCTCTCTCCCTCTCCCTTTCTCTCTCTCTTCCCCCCCC